AGACATTCTGGATGTCAGCCACATACCTCTTCCTATAGGAACACACACACACACTCTCTCTCTCTCTCTCTCTCTGTGTGGAGCAGTGAGATGACTGCAGGAGAAACAAATGCCATCTGGAACTGCTAAGCCAGTTTTGCAGGAGCAAAACTGAAACATTTTTGTCATGGCAAGTGCCTTCCTATGCCATGCAGCTCCCAACTGGGCAGCACATGCTATGAGGATCTTCTCTCCTAAGCCATCTCTGCATGATCTAGGACCTGAACAGGAGTAGAAGATGAGTCTTAAGCACTAAGGGATGGCAACTGCGTCCCTCTGCTCTTCCACCCTTTCAGCTCCATCTCCTGCTCACCCCTTAAGAGCAGCTCTGATGGATCATGTCATTCTTTTCTTGCTGTCCTGAGTCACAAAGGATCTGTCTCATTGCCTCCCACTCTGTTCTTTTAAAGCAACATGGAATCAGGCCCAGGTTACCCATCAAACCTCCCCTTGTGAGCAAAACCACAGAAAAAGGCACAGATGTGGAGAAGGGAAGCAACTTGGCGGTCAGATAAAGTGAGGAGCTGGAAAATAGCAGGAGAATTGGAGTTGGTCTATGGGACAGAAATGCAAATTCATACAACATATTTGTAAAAAGATAAATGATACAGCCACTTAAAGAGCTCAAGTGTACGAAGGATGGATGATGGAGATCCTCTTGGGGTGCACTTGAGACTAGAGTTTGTGGGCAGAGGGCAAGGGGACGGCCAAGAAAACAGTGGATAGACCGTGTACAGGAGAGTAGAGTGGACATGGAGCAAGTGTTGGACTGGCAAGTCCAGGAAAGGCTGGGAAAGGGGGAAAAAGAACACTTAAAGAGCTTATATACCATAGTAATGAACATGGTATGAACCTAGTGAAGGAACAATAATCCACACCGTGTAGAGTCAAGCACAGGAGTTTATTATGCACAGCACTGGCAGAGTGTCACTTTGCTTATTAGGCTCAGAGACACTGCAAAACAATTAGTTACAATAGATTATATATGGTGCTCATTGGGCGGAGAGAAGCGACAGGGATGGGTTTTCCCAAACCCCTGGATAGGTTCTAACAGCAAGACAAGATAAGCACAATAAGCCAATGGTCTAAAAGATTACATAATGGTTCCGCCCATGGCCCAGATTAACATATTGCTGACACACAGGTAATTACCCCCAAACTATGTCTATTAAAGTGTATAGGTTAAATCCTAATTTTGGGGTCCAGGGGAATGAGGTAGCAGCTCTCTCGGTTGACCAACAGGTACATTCCTAGAGATTTAAAGCAAAAAAGCAGTAATTAGTACTTAACAATTTCACAAGTTTACCCTTGCATTTCTGTGGGCTAGGACTGGCATACATCTGTGAGGGGAGGGTGTCATAACTCATGTCAATCATATTAGGCCTCTCCCCGAACTTTGTCTAGGATCTGAGGGGTATTGTACCACTATCTCCTCCCTGCATTAGGGAGTAACCGTGAGGCCTTTCTTAGCGCTTCATGTGTCTATAACTCACGATAAGGACGCTCAGTGCTGGCTCCAGGGTTTTTGCCACCCCAAGAGGCGGGGGAAAAAAAAAAAAAAAGCCGCGATCATGATCGGCGGCACTTCGGCGGTAGCTCCACCGCGCTGCTTTCTTCTTCGGCGGCACTTCGGTGGCAGGTCCTTCCCTTCGAGAGGGATCGAGGGACCCGCCGCCGAAAAGCCCGACGTGCCGCCCCTTCCCCTTGGCTGCCCCAAGCACCTGCTTGCTGAGCTGGTGCCTGGAGCCGGCCCTGAGGACGCCCAATTACATTCGGAGTTATGCTGACTCCGCTCACTGACTTGAAACGCACAAGGTTATCTATTTACCCCAGCTTCCTCTGAGCTATGTATTGTTCTCTATTAGCCAGCCTCCATAGCCCAAACCAAGCTCTGGACTCCGGGCCTATATTGAAATGTTCTTAGCAGAAACTGTAGTTAAGAGCTTATATCCATAGCTAATGGATTCTGACCCTTCACCTACATAGAGAGGATCCTCCCTGTAGCATTGAGAACGCTTTTCATTCTATCCAGATTCAGCTTGTGACTGAACAGACACTTTGGCCCTGGAGTACCTCAATATCTGATTTTTCCCATGTATATTTCCCATCTGTTCAGATTACACCTTCCCTCAGCAGAGAAAGGTGTTGGTTTGGTGAGTTTAACCATTTTATAGTATGGACAATTAAATAGCTCCAGATCCTCTCCACAGCAACTTCTTTCCCAGAGCTTGATACAATGACATCAATAATATTATCTTAAGTATCTTATTTCAGTGTATTCCATTTAGCCCATTGAATTCCAATGAGTGAGTGATTAATTTCTAAGTGTGCAATTAAAAATCTAAATTCACATTTGTTGGTTTGTATTAAAAAAAAGCCCATAATCTAACTATCCCTCCTTTATTTCTCACCTCTCTCCTACCCTACTTGCTCCTGCTTTGGTCTTCCACCCCAATCTCCTGAGCTATGGTAGGCCTCTTAGTCACCTGCTTTTCACCATACGCAGTAACATACTGCAGAGGGCCAGACTGAGAGAAGGGACAATAGCACATAAAGCAGCTTGCTCTGTGGGACAGAGGTGCAGTGGTCCTATCTCTTGTGGTTTTATCTAGAGCAGTGGTCCCCAAACTTTTCCTTGGGGCGGGCACCCAGACGACTAGCCGCTGAGGACCATGGCCACCGAACAAGCAGCCACCGAAATGCTGCCGTGAAGCGGCAACGTCAAGAGGCGTTGCCGCTGAAATGCCGCTGAAATTCGTGAAGCAGCGTCATCAAGAGGTGTTGCCGCCGAAATGCTGCTGAAATTCGGCGGCATTTCAGCGGTAGCGCTTCTTGATGTTGCCGCTTCTCGGCGGCATTTCGGCGGCTGCTTTTCCCACTCTCCCGTATGTGCTCCCCTTGCAACTGTTCTGCCTGGTCTTCCCTTCAGGCTCTTCCACCCTTTCAGCTCCCCTCTGCCACCCCTTGTCTCCTGCCTTGTTCCTCCCAGTCACTCCCTGCTTCGATGTGCTACCCCCCTCCCATAACCCCCCAGGCCTTGCCTGCCCTCTCTGCCAGGGTCTCTTCCTCCTGTCCAGCACCGACTCCCTATTTCCCATGCTCCACTTCCCTTCTGCCCCCTGGCACCAGTTATCTCTCTGCCCCTCCTCCCCGACCTGGTTCCCTTCCCCCTTCTGCCTATCTAGCACTGATATCTGGTCTGATGGTGCCAGTGGTGAAGGGATGAGGGAGGAGAGTTAGGCTCCATTTTGGGGCTGTCTTTTACTGGCAGCTCAGGAATGTGGGGGTCAAATGCTCTGTGACTACCAGTAGGAACAGCCCTGGGCTACATGCCAGCTTGTCTGCCAAGGCTCTCAGCTCCACTCGCAGCTCCCTGCTGGGAGCCCAGGTGCTGCCCCAAGGCTCTCGGCCCCCCACTCCCTGCCAGGAGCCCAGGTGCTGCCCGAGGCTCCCCACGCCCTGCTGAGAGCATGGCAGCCACTGGGTGGGGAGCAGAGAGCTGGGGGGCAGTCCCCAGGCTTCGGGCAAGAAGCGGGGATCTGGGAGCCTTGGGGCAGCACCCGGGCTCCTGGCAGGAGCCTCGGTGCACAAGGGCTACCAGTGGGGTATGGGCAGCCAGGAGCCCAGGGGCAGCCCAGCTGGGAGCAGGGAGCCAGGAACCCAGGCAATAGCCTGGTTGGGAGTGGGGAGTCAGGTGGGTGCAGCCTGGCACTGAGTGGGGAGCCTGGCAGGTGCAGCCCGGCTTGGAGTGGGGAAGCTGGGCAGTAGCCCAGCGGGGAGCCCGGCAGCCAGGCTCTAGCTGGAGCCCCCCACCCATGCCGCTTTCTTGTCAATTTCACAGCTCTATCATGGAGCCTGGACATTGACAAGAATGACAGCCAACTGCCCATGTAAGTAATGTGCAGTGTCTGCATAGCAGTAACTACATGGACATAAGCCCTAGGCCTCTTATGGGGGTGGCGTTATGATGTCGGTGTAGTAGGTCACTTACATTGGTGGGACAAGTCTGCAGTGTGTACACTATTGCTGCCTTTCAGAAGCCACCCCACACTGCCCCACATTTACAGTTAAATTGGTGTAAGCGCTCCTGGGGAGGACACACACTGCTGACACAAGGAGCATAGTGTGGAGATGCAAAAGGGATTTAATTACTGCAGTGGGAGTGGCTGTACATCTATGTAATTTAGGTCAACTAATTTTGTAGTGTAGAGTTGCCCCAAGGCATTTATTTCACTCTCATGGTATTCTGGCTAATCTCCTGTTGTTTGGTGTTATTTTGGGTGGGGTGAGGTGTTATGATTTTTGCTCTCTTGGGAGTGGCAGTACAGGATTCCAGGGAGCAGTGGCGAAGCCCCCAGCACCCTCCAGTAAGTGGAGAGAACTGGATGGGAAAATATAGCGGGATAGCTGCTATTAGGGTTTGGCTACACATGGAGTTATTCAGGACCAGCTGAAGCTTCTTTGCTCAAGGTCCTGCAGGGGGTCTGTGGTAGCCCAAGGACTTGCACCCAGATCTCCCATGTCCCCCGTGCCCTAAGCACTGGACCCTCCTTCAGGTCCAACTATTACTGTGGCTTTGAGCAGTGCTGCGGCACAGCAGCTCAAACCACCCTAAAGGGGACACAGCAGAGCCCCAAATTGGGCCCCTGTGCTTGAACCATTTTCCTGGCTACAGTTGCCCAAAACCAAGAGGGGGAGAAAATCGCCCAGGAGCCCCGTGGGAGCTTTGTTCTGAGTGGCAGGGGATGGTGCAGGCCAGGGGGCTGTGAGTGGCCTTTAGTAGGAAAGGGGGCAAAGGAGCAGAACAGAGGGAAAAGGGAACGTTTCTCTCCTGTCTGGGGAAGTGAGGGTTAAAACCAAAGAGCCGGTTCTGGAGAGGAGGACTAGAAAGTCCTGCCCAGGGGGACTTCAGCGACCTGGAAAGTCCTGTTCCCTGCAACCCGCCGTGCACATGGCACCTGGCGCCGCACAGCTACAGCCCCGCACCCCCGGGCGTTCACACTGAGCGACCCGCTCCTGCGGCTTCTCCCAGCCACACGGGTGAGCCGGGCAGGGGGGCTCGGTAATGCGGGGGGAGGGGACACAGCAGGGCGGGGGCCCAGGAGGGGAAATCACTGCCTGTAGGAAGTGACCGCAACAAAGGTGAAGCTGGAGTCTGGATTTGGGACTGACTCAGGGAAGGAGAACGAATCAGGGGCCAGGGCCCCTCATCCTGAAGGCGCCCAGATCAGGGAGTGCTCCTGCAGGATTTCTCCCCCACCTCCCAGCTGGACAGCTGAGGGACAGCATGGGGCAGTGAGGTGTCTCTGCGGATTTCCCCCCAGCTCAGGGGCAGCATGTGGGTAGCTGTACAGGGATCCTCAGGCTCAGGCACAGCCGGATGATCTTTAGCAAAACCGAGTACTCCGCCTACCAGGATTTCAGAAAAACGTGGAAGGGAGATTGGGGAAGACTGGTGAATGCTAAGTGGTAAAGGGAAGGGATTTAAAATGAAATTTGGAGGCGGGAGATGATGGGAGAGGGCTGGGGTCAAAGGAAGAGAGTTATGGTGATGCAAGTACATTTTTTGCAATGGGCACACTTGATTTTTTTTTAACAAAATAAATAAACTGCAAAACAACCCCCCCCTCCCAATTAAAAACTATTCTGAAATGTTGCATACATGGTGGAACTAATCAGAAATTATAAGCCTTTACCAGATCAAAATAAAAAGCAGAAAGTGAGACCTTACATACCTAACTTAGGGTTTGTCTAAACATAAAAGTTGTGTCGCTTTTAACTACATCCCTATACTGTAGTTTTAAAGTGGCACAACCCCCCAATGTGGACACAGATATACTTATATAAAAGTGCTTATGCGGGTATAGCTTATTCCAGTATTGAAAGGCAGAGTGGATAGAAGTTGATTTGTTTTACATTAAAAAAATTGGATTTTTTCATTTAAATATATATTTGTTTTTAAAAATAAACCTGTTTTAAAATTAAATTTAAAAATTATAACAAGTTATGTTAAGGCCTAAACTTGCTAGAAACTATTTAAATAAATGTGCTGCATCAGGGAACTCTCCTCAAATTTGAATGAGTTAAAGGGTGCTGCTTTTTTAATGATGTACATCGTCGGGGGAAACATCTTTAACTTTTGAGGTCAGGACAAGCTTTATAAATATGTAACAAAGTCCTGTACTGCGTTAAGTAAGAACCCGTATCATTTTCCATTTTTACAATGCAATGAAAGTTGGTAATCACATTTTTCCAAATATAAGTACTTCAGAGGTTTTTGTTTGTTCAGAAAAAGCTTTTCCTTCAATTCCTTTTGGTTTCAGTTTAGCTAGCAGGTGTAGAGAGAATATTTCCTTCATTTGGACTAGTTCATTCAAAGTTGAGAAACTGCTTGGGATTTGAAAAAGCAGGAAAGTTGGGTTCCTCTTCCAAGCTATGAATAAAAACCACATGCATAAGATGAAATTTACTCATTCTAAAAACATGAATGCTACTGGACCACTTTTTTCAAAGGTATTTTGGCACCTAAAGATGCATAGAAGTTCCTAGAGGGACTTTCAAAAGTGCCTAAGCAGGTGGCTATTATTATTATTATTTTATTTGTTTGTTTTATCCTGGCACTGAATAAACTCAAAACAAAAAGATGGCCCTTGCCCTGAGTAGCTTGACAGGCAGTGATCTGAGCACTTGAGCATGGTCAATTTTTTTTTTTTTTTTTGTAGGTTCACAGCAAAGGAGAGTTTTGAGGAGAGCTTTGAAGGATGCTTTGAACCTCCAGGACACTCAAGAGCATCAAAGGCGTGCGGAGAGGCAGGGGTGGGACAGGTGGTAGCTTGCCTGGCAGCTGACTGCCAGCTCAATGTCAATGAGAGTTAGGAACCTAACCTGGTTAGGCAGTTTTGAAAATTCCTGTAGGCAGCTAAATACCTTGTTGGATTTTCATCTGGCTTTGGTCACTGGCCTGTCCCAATTCCTCCTCAAATACTTTCCTATTGTTTTATAGTAATAAATGCCCAGATGTGTGCTGAGCACTTCACAGGAATGTGTAAAACCCAGGTCCCTGCCTTGAATAGCTCACAGTACTGCACCACCAGTCAGTGGGAGCTCTGTCACTGATCTCAGTGTGTGTAGGATCACACTTCTGGGTCCCAGTCCTGCCAAAGAATCGGCAAGGATGAACCCTGATGCCTGTGCAGAGTCATGACTAAGGGTATGTCTATACTACCCGCTGGATCGGCGGGCAGTGATCGATCCAACAGGGGGTCAATTTATCGCATCTAGACTAGACGCGATAAATCGACCCCTGAGCGCTCTCCTGTTGACTTCTGTACTCCACCGCCGCGAGAGGCACAGGCAGAGTCGATGGGGGAGCGGAGCAGTCGACTCATCGCAGTGAAGACACCGCAGTGAGTAGGTTTAAGTACATCGACTTCAGCTACGTTCTTCACGTAGCTGAAGTTGCGTAACTTAGATCGATTCCCTCCCCCGCCCCCAGTGTAGACCAGGGCTAAGTCGATAGGACTCCATCCAGACGCAACGCTCTGCCTGTACTGATTCCTAGGCAGAATTGGGGCCAAAATGTTCTCACTTGTCAGTCTTGTGAATCATATCATTCCCCAGAAAGGGGACAGGTCAGGAAAGACAGACTCACAGTGATAAGACTTAAGGTTAGGCACCGGGTTTCCTCTGTGTGGGGCTTTTGGGCATACTTTCCCTCATTAATCACATCTGATTGTTATTGAGGTTCATTGCCCCTGTTTTCTTTCCCAGGACCAGGATTTTTGACTGCTAGGGGTGAAGTGACCTCTTAGAGGGAACAAGGATAAAAACCTTGCGTCTTTGATCTCCCGAGCCCTGAGAAAATGGAGAGCCTTAGAGGCCCCTATATAGGTAAGACCTGTTTTTAAATAAATTTACATAATTAATTAGCCAGTTTTAAAGCTGGAATTCCAACACAGCTCATGAGTAAGGCTAAGATTTTGTCATGGTTACTTTTAGTAAAAGGCATGGACAGGTCACAGGCAACAAACAAATTCACAGAGCTCATGACTTTTATTAAAAATAACCATACAAGCCGCGGGGCAGAGGTTCACAGCCCCAGCGGCAGCCCCCACCCCGGGACAGGGGCGCATGGTCCCGGTGGTGGCCCCCGGCGCAAGCGGTGGGGCAGGGGTGCACGGCCCCGGTGGCGGCCCCCGCAGTGGGGTTATGTGGGGAGCATAGCTCCGGCTCCAGCCCCAGCCACAGCTTCAGCTGCTGACAGCTGAAGAAGTCACAAAGGTCCGGTAAAGTCACAGAATCCGTGACCTCCGTGACTAAATTGTAGCCTGTCTCATGAGTTCTCATATCAGTCTCATTTTGTGATCTCATAGGCTTTGCTATAGTAGAAGTGCATTGTTAGGCTCTCCGCAGGAATCACCTATACATTGGTATGCCAAGCACTCTACTTTCTTGGGATTTATCTGCCTGTTCTAAAAACTTGAGTCTGCCCTATATAAAATCCAGAATATTTGTCCAGCTGTCTTAATACCCTGAATAATGAAGAGGAGAAGAAATAGACAAGTTTAAAAAATCAGAGCCTAAAGCTTAGGCTTCTAAGTGACTTACAAAGAAAAGGTGCCCAGTGAGACGTGTTCCCAAATCACTTAGGCTCCAAAGTCCATATTGAGACATACAAGTGGGGATTTTTATAAAGCATATATCTTTTTGACTCCTCTTTGGAAAGATTCGGCCAATATTTTCTGGTTATTCACACCACATACTTTCTCTTTATTATGGAGGCTTTGTAGCAGATACCTGGCTAATATATGGTTTTCCACTTAAAGTGGAGTTCAAATCCCTTATAAAACAAAATCTCACCCTTGTCATGACCCAAATTATACCGTTTGAATCAGAATAAGCTTGAATTTTCAATATACTTTCCATTCTCTAAAAATGTCTAATTTGAAAAGTTTAACTCACTTTAAAATCACTAACTTTGTAATTTTTAAAATAAAGCAGTCTTAGGTTTTGTTTTTTCCCCCCACCAGGCCCTCTTACTGCACACTGCCAACATGTACACACTTGGTATTTCATGCACCGTGAAGCAGACAATATTCCACCCTTTGGAAATTACAAACAGTGGAAAGTTATTAGGTGAGGTATGGGTGGCAAGATGTGACATGATGTTGGTGTGGATAGTAATGTTGCTCTAATTGGTGATTTTTCCTGATTTCCCCCCCTCTCTCCCCCAGTGATTGCATTGACAGGAAATGCACTAGAGCACCCCTAGTACCGAGTTAAAAGTTTTTTGTATTGTTCAAAAGGTAGCTCAATCCCCTGATGTGGGGGAGAGGCAAAGTCCACTATTGTCTTGGGTTAAAAACAAATAGGGTGGGCTTTTGCCCCAATAAGCTGGGGAGACTAGATCCCCATGTAGCAGGAGATGCTGATGGCAAACTGCTCCTCTGAGTTTCCCTGCTTATGATGGACTTTGCTTCTCTTCCACATCAGCAGCCTGAGATGCTTTTTGCAAAACAAGTCATGCTAAAAATGGTCCTCAGTAGTCTGTAGGGAGACAGCGGAAGGTCCCACAGTCCATTTCCCCTCCCCAGTCTCTCCTCACACCCATTTACTTTCCCTTTCATCCTCATACCTTTCCCCACCTCACTCTCTTTCACTCTGTTCCTCCTCCCAACTCTTTCTTCCATGTCCCTCTCCTCACTCCCTGTTCCTGTCTGGGGAAGGATTGTGCTGGGGATGGATGCAAAGCTTATAGTCTTAGGCCTGATCTACACCTCACACTTAGGTCAACCTAGCTACATCACTCAGAGCTGTGAAAATTGTTATGCCCTGTGCAATGTAGTTAGCTCGACCTAACTCCCACTTTAGACACAGCTAGGTGGATGGAAGGATTCTTCCCTCGACCTAGCTACCTCCTCTAGAGGGGGTGGATTTATTGCAGCGACGGCGAAACCCCTTCCGTCACTGTAGTGAATGTCTGCACTATAGTGGCATAACTGCAGCGCCGCAGCTGTGCCAGTGTAGCACTTGTAGTGTGCAGACACACCCTTAAGCGCATACCCTTAAGCTTAGTGGCTTACTTGTAACACACCCTTTACCCTTCCCTGAGATAGCACAGGCAATGAGTGAGTGTCTGGATTCTCTCTTTACTTCCCTAGATGACGCGATTGCGAGAGAAAGCAAAGAGGAGAATCCTCAGCTGAAGCTAGACACAGAAAAGAAACTAGACACACATGCCGGCCCCATTAACTGTTGGAGGCCACGCGGCAGAGAAAATCACTATCAATGTACAGAATGTAGGAAAAGCTTCAGTGTTCATTCGGCGCTGATCAAACATCAGAGAATCCACACCGGAGAGAAACCCTATCAGTGCAGTGAATGTGGGAAAAGCTTCAGTGTAAGCTCGACGCTGGTTACTCATCAGAGGATCCATACGGGGGAGAGGCCCTACAAATGCGTGCAGTGTGGGAAGAGCTTCAATCAAAGCTCACACCTCACTCAGCATCAGAAGATCCACAAGGGAGAGAAGCCATGTACATGTACTGAATCTGGAGAAGGCTTTACTGACAGCTCAACGTGCGTGAAACATCCAGGACTGCATGCTGGAGTGGGGCCCTATAAATGCGCTGAATGTGGGAAAAGCTTCAATCGGAGCTCCACTCTCTACAACCACAACAGGATCCACACGGGAGAGAAACGCTACAAATGTGATGAGTGTGGGAAAAGCTTCAGTGTGAGCTCCAACCTCATCAGGCATCAGAAAATCCACACAGAGCAGAGACCCTATAAGTGTCTTGAATGTCGTAAGAGCTTCAGCCTGAGCTCAGACCTGGAAGCGCATCAGAGGCTTCACCTGGGAGAGAAACCCCACAAATGTTCTGAGTGCGAGAAAAGCTTTGATCAGGAGTCGCAGCTCCTGAAACATCAGCGAGTTCACGCTGGGGAAAACTCGTATGAATGTGTGGAGTGTGGGAAGAGCTTTAGTAGGAAGGGGAACCTCCTGAGACACCAGGAGATCCACACTGGGGACAAACCCTACCAGTGTAATGAATGTGGGAAAAGCTTCAGCCGGAGTTCGTCGCTCATGCAGCATCAGCGGATCCACACTGGAGAGAAACCCTACAGCTGCATCGAATGTGGCAAGAACTTCAGCTTTAGCTCCCAGCTCACCACCCACCAGCGGATCCACACAGGGGAGCGGCCCTACAAATGTAACGAGTGTGGAAAAAGCTTTGTGGATAGCTCGGGTCTCATTCAGCATCGGAGAATTCACACGGGAGAGAAGCCCTACCAATGCACTGAGTGTGGGAAGAGCTTCCGGCAGAACTCGGTGCTGATTCAACACCGGAGAACCCACACCGGTGACAAGCCCTTCGAGTGCGGGGAGTGTGGGGAACGCTTTAGCCAGAGCTCCACGCTGATCACACATCAAAGGATTCACACCGGGGAGCGGCCCTACCACTGCAGCGAGTGCGGGAAGAGCTTCAGCGAGAGCTCGCACCTCACGCAGCATAGGAGAATCCACACGGGGGACAAGCCCTACAAGTGCGGTGAGTGTGGGAAGAGCTTCATTCAGAGCTCGCAGCTCACCACCCACCAGAGGATCCACACAGGAGACAAACCCTACCAGTGCCACACCTGTGGGAAGAGCTTCAGTGACAGCTCAGCGCTCACCCAGCATCAGAGAGTCCACACCGGGGAGCGACCGTACCAGTGCACGGAATGTGGGAGGAGCTTCAGCCAGAGCTCGGCCCTGGTGCAGCACTGGAGGATCCACACTGGAGATAAGCCCTATGAGTGCACCGAGTGCGGGAAAACTTTCAGCCAGAGCGCAGGGCTCACTCAGCACCGGAGCACCCATGCGGGAGAGAGACACTGAGACAGGGACCCATGGGCCCTGTGGCTGTCAGGAGTGGCTCTTTGCTGTGCTGAATGATGCAACAAAGCGGAAGCAGTGCTGCAATGTTAATTGATCATGAAACTATTGAATCGCAATCAACCTCTTGATTAAAATCCTCCTAAAAATGCATCAGGCATATTGTGATGCCGAGAAAGCTAACCCTTCCCCCACACCTGGCCTCCAAACATAAGAGGATGTTGTTATAAATTTTTAAGCCGAATCTTAGGGGAACTTAGCAAGAGCTTCTGTTATAAAGGCTTCTGGTACAAAGGCTTAGCTAGATAATGTCCCCAGCACAACACTAGGAACACTGTTCATAATAGCTTGATTCAGCTTTGCCCTTCCCTTCTCGGCCTGTGACTGAGCAGTGGGCTTGTCTTGGGAGCAGCAGGTGGTGCATGAAGAACACCTGTTTCATGTGCCAGTGACCTTCAAGGAGGTGGCCATCTATTTCACCTAGGAGGCGTGGGCTCTTCTGAACAAAAGGCAGAGGAAGCTCTGAGGGGATCTGCATTATTAGCCATTAGAGGACCTACATGGTGTTGAAATGCTATCAGTATACTAAATAGGGGGCATTTCAGTGGCAGCTCAAATCTCATATATCAAGAGAATCTACATGGATGAGAAACCCTATTGTAAATGGACAGGGCATATGTGGGGAAAATTTTCTGCCATAGCAAAGTCCTTTTATCTGACCTACAGAATGATGAGTTCCATGCCCATTGTGTCGTACAGGAGTCAATAGCCAATATGGGTACAGTGGCAGGTGGGTGGGTTTCCTATAGTGTTATATCTAAAACTCAAAGTGATAACTCTAATTTTGAAACATCCATTTATTTGTCATTTCTAAAGCAGGGGACAGCCTGCAGCTCTGAACTTCTTAAATTTGGACAGATCACTGTAAAAATGCTGGAACCCTTCCATCCCCTAGCTTCCATTCATTTTCTTTCACAAGGGCTTTAAGAAGTCTGCATCACATGATGGTGCATTGCTTAAACTTGGAAAGGACTCTGGGCTTATATGCTTTGCAGGTGATAGTTGTGTGTGACTGTGAATGACAGACCTTTGGGTTCATTGCTTTCATACATAAAGCACATGCTACACCATTACATTCAACTTTGTTCTGTCTTACAACCTTAATACCGTGATTTCAGCTTTTGAGTTTTGTACAGGTAACTCTGCTATCTAGTTGGCTAATGACACTTGTATAGCCGGTGATGCATGGAATCTGTGTACCGGGAAATGATTGCTTTCAATAAGTTGTTTGATCAGGAATTAGAAAAGGAAACCTCTGACCTGTGTGCACCTGTATGAAGGGTGCACTATCAGGGCCGGCTCTAGGTTTTTTGCTGCCCCAAGCAAAAAAAAATTTGGCTCCCCCCCCGCACCCTCCTGCCGCCCCAGCCCTGGGTCACTGGTAACTCGCTCCCAGGGTGGGTCATTCAGCAGGAATTTTGGATGTGCACAGAACACAGACAGGATTGGTTCCCATATGGTTACAGAACTGCAGTAAAGTGGAACAATTTTCAGCTTTTGTGATTGAAGGCTATCTGGATGCATATTATAAGACTGTCCTACATAAACAAGGAAAAGTTGAGGTGCCTTTATTATTCTTTTGTTCCATTCTTTGTTTCTATGGGGAATTTGCCAATGCAATATCACTGTCTTCCTTTTAAACAAATAAAACTAAAACTTAAAAATAATAATAATAATAATAATAATAAAGCAATGGCTGTTGAAAATAGCAATTCCAGTCCTAATAACCACTGGGAAGCATTTCTTGCTCAATTTATTCTATTTTTTCCTACAGCAAGTTACAGTGGATCAGTATATTTGATTTGGGAGAAATGAAGTAACAGCTGCCCAAATTGAGCTTGAGCACTCCTGAATTTTGAGGGTGTTCAAATCTGGAAGGCAGGTGCTGGATTCCCTTTCTGAATATTAGCTAAATCTGGAAAAGAAAAGTCAATTTCTGCTTCCATGGCTCAGAAGTGTAAATCCTCCTACGTGCCTGGTACTGTATCTAAAGCTGCCCAGTCTAGTAGAGCCTCCCCTCCCTTACTTTTCATTTTAAATTCTAGTGGGATCCACGTACCTGCCTTGCTAGGCTTCAGATAGAGAGGTGCAATGTCCATTTAGTCCACCCAATTCTTTCTTTGGGGGAAAGCCCA